AGAACGGCCCGTTCTGGAGGTACACATTAAGCTCATTTGACTGGCCTAGAACGGCCTTGGAACGACCCGTTCCATTTTAGGAACGGCGCGTTCCGGCCCCGTTCCAATTAAGCATTTGGCCCTTTTGTGAGGAGTTTGGAACGGCCTGTTCCAATCTTGGAACGGCCCGTTCCAATTTCGGAACAGCCCGTTCCAAATTAGGGTTACTAGCCTTTTTGGGGGCCGCAGAACGGCCCGTTCTGGTCCTCAGAACGGCCCGTTCCGGGCCAAAAAATATTTAATTTGTGCCCCCTGAAGTCCTGTCTTCTTGTCGGCATGCTTCGGGAGCTCCTTCCCTTCGTAACAGAGGTCTATGTCCTTGCTGTATGCCCCCGGACGAAATTGGGTGTCTACAAGCGTGAACCGTGATTACTCGCCCTGAGTCGGCTGGGAACTTCATATCCAGGTGCGGAGTGGAGACGATTGCACCGAGCCGATTTAAGGACGGCCGATCGAGCAAAATGTTATAGCACGTGTTGGCATGAACCACCACATATTTGACCGAAACGTCTTCATTAAATTAATTCAATTTAATGTATATTCATAAAAATATATAATATATTTATTTTAATATATAAAATAAGTATTATATAATTTTCAAATTTTACAAAAATATATAGACTTGATCTGTTTATTAAAATTTAAATTTTTAGACTTGATTTGTTGAATAAGAACTTGTAATTTAAAAGGTTGGATCATTGAATTTTTAATTCAGACAGTAAATTATTAATTGAAATAGTTCTAAGAGTTACTTTTAAAGAAAATGAACAATTTAAATTGAGATATAAATTATATTTAAAAAGATAATTTGTAAATGAAAACTTGAGGATCTTATCGTCCATAATAAATCTCAATACCTAAAAATATTAATCATGCCACCGGATATGTTTAAAAAAAATGGATTAAACACATATTTTAGACTAAACTTTAATCCATGTCTAGAATAAGACACTGTAGAGAAGGTGGAAAAACATAGAAAACTACTTATGATTAATATTTTCTTTTTGCCCAAAAGGTCTTTTTTCTTCCCACCCTTTTTCTTTATTCCTCATGCATTATGCATATGATAATATTATTTTCTCATCACTTTCACTCAAGAGATACGTTCATGTGGTTACTACTAGTCAACAAAGACCACTATTCACTAAGTAGGCTAAGTAGAATCGAAGCAGTTCAAGTGATGGATGCAAGAGTTAATCACCTTACAGGCAAACCCCTTAATTTGTTAACACAAAAATGTTAACAAATTAAGGTAGCTTCCGTTTGATTGCTTGCAACTCCACTATCACATCTTTTATGTCCATTCGCTGATTGGGCAATTCTGCGGCACATGCAACTCCAATCCTAGCAAAGGACACCAAACACTCCCCAATGGTTCTTTCCATGACCCTTGTTCCCTCTTCAGCACTGGACACAAGCAAACGTGAATCTACTATCTCTATAATTCTATCTGGAATTGCATTCTCACAGAATTTGTGTAGGCTTAGACCCTCACCAAACATGTTATCCGTTGGTTTCTTTCCGGTCAGCATCTCCAACACAAGAATTCCGTAGCTGTAGATATCTCCTTTTGCTGATACATGCACACCCGCTCCATACTCTGTTCCAACAAACAACAATTTTGACAAAAATGAAGGATAATTCCAATAACCACATACTGATTATATGCAAATTGTTTTAGAGTTTAATCAAATCATACTAATATATGTAACTTTTGTATATTGTCATTCAATCAAAAATTGTCAATGCATAATAAGATTGATGAATTCTATAAAAGTTACTTTCAAAATCATATTTGGTGAGTTTTTTTAGTTAGTTGACTCTAAAAAATGTCGTTAGACTCACTATAATTTTATTAGAATAAATTTGAATGGGACAGTTATTAAGATCAAGGTTCAAAGTATTGAATCTAAAGACTTTTGCTTTTTTACAATTTGACATTAGTCAATAATAAACTATGACAACAATGATCCTATCTAATCTAAATAGCAATAATTTATCTCTAATAAAACTCGATGTCAACTAGATTATGCCGTTGTTGCCACAAGGTAATTCAATAGCATAGGTAAAATAGTTAAAGGAAAGATAGTACTTCAGCTGGGGGAACAGATCGGAGTGCTCCCGGTACAATTATAAAAGCATAATTATCTAAACTCGTTAAAAACATAATGGTCTTGTTAACAGATATATAATTAAATTGGTGAAACTCCGAAGTAATTATTTATTAGTTGCTCAGATTTTTTCTTTTACTTGTCCAATGCGCAACAATTTGATTAAATAATTTGCATCGGGAGCCATATCAGTCTTTATTATTTCTATTGGGTAAAATTTAGACAGTTAACAGTTTCACTTATTTTAGATTCCAATTTCATTCTTAAATTGACAGAAGATTTTAGTTTATTTGTCTCATACAGAACAGAACAAGGGCTGTTCATTTAATTAGTTAGAGAACTATTTTTTGTTTGAACTTTCTTTTGAGATATCATGTTAGACTTGGTAAAAAACATCAGAGTCATCCTCAATGTCTCACGAAACAAATAGTAGCTGCCTATAACATACCATCTGGTTTTACATCCCACCTACTCTTGCGCTTTCTCTTACTCTTACTCTTACTCTGGGGAGATTCATACTGCCCAATCATCATCTCAATTTGTTTAGATGGTGGAATTGGAAATTGGATAAGTTCCTCATTGTCATCACCATCATCTTCAATCCATCCAAAGCAACTTTTCCGCTTAGAACATGAAAGATGATCAACTACTTCTGAAGATTGAATTATTTGAATTGGAATCTTGTCATAAGTACTTAATTTCAACATTACTTTCTTTGACATTATCCACAGGCTTTAGCTCATTTTCAGACTGGTTCATATCTTGTTAATGTCCTCCACTATCAGCTGACACCTCCGAACCCCTAACATCTAACGATAAAAGAGATATAGTCTAAGTAAAAGAAAAGACAGTAGGTTTTTCTTTACTCTTGAAAAATTAGACATTATTTCTTCAAATGTGATGGAATTAAACAGCAAAATCGTAAAAGAAACTTTAACTTATATTTCTTGGTTACCAGCTACTGAGCCTGCAATCAGGCTTATGCCTAATGAAGATGTATTTATGGATGTCGTTCAAAAGGACATACTAATTACCAACCTTGATCTAGGAACTGAAGTTCAGGAAGCTGAAACTCTTGCAAACAGTTAAGAGTTATGTATTTCAAATGGGAGAAATTGAGAGAGGATGAAATGAAATTACCCGTTTCTAAATTGTCAAGTGATACATCGTTATGATCATTGGCTTGAGATGAAGAGTCCAAATCACCACCAGTATGCAATGTTGTCTCATTAACTGAAATCCCAACTGATGTTGTCTCATTGATCCCATCCCTTTTTGCACTATCCTGCAAATAATACATATTAGTGCGAGTCATAAAAAATACCATACATATATAAATGTAACAATAACATGGTTAACAAAACAAATACATACATATATATATATATATATATATATATGTGTGTGTGTGTGTGTGTGTGTGTGTGTGTGTGTGTGTGTGTGTATATATATAAATACTACTTAATGGTTAGGTTAAGGAGTTGGAGCTTGTATTAGGTTGACTTAGTGTCTTGTATGTTGTCCAAGAGAAAGATTATACCATATTCATTCAACTGAAATCTTTTAACAATATTCATCTGATTGTTCCAATTTATTTGCTAAATTTTACCTTATCTTGGGCAGAATCTTGTTGTTTGCTAAGTAAGGTCGCGATTAGGAGCCTGTAAGAGGACTCTTCAATAAAGGGCCATCCTTGAGTTGAGTTCCATCGAACACCTGAGCAAATTCATCCAACACCACACGTGAAAAGTAAACAAATATGGTGAAAACAAAACATTTAGCACTTTTGTTTTCCTTTAAGTATTTGGAGAAGAGAAAACTAACATCGAGAAGCTCCTTCACTGTTTTCTGAACCAGTTGTTTCTCGAATCCTAATTGATACATTGCGTCTAGAGCAGCATCCATGCGGGTGTTACCCTTCTGAAGACAAAACAAAATACCATTAAAGAAAGGAAAATGTTACAAAACCGTCAAGGGCACCACAACACAGAAAGGTCCTTCATTTCACACTTTCTTGCTTATTTTCTCATTTCTTGCAGTAAACGTGAAGAAAGAAATTGAGAGGATGAGAAAATAAGCAAGAAAGTGTGAAATGAAGGACCTTTCTGTGTTCTGGTGCCCTTGACGCCATTCCGAAGCCTTCTTTCAGTTCAAGAAAATAAAACAAAAAAGTCGTTTCTTTCTTGTTCAGTTACTCTGTTGAAAGTTGAAACAATCAGAAGTGAAAATAGAAGAAAAAAAAACACTTCGAATATGTAATGTAACCTTCATTATTGTCTGCAAGACTGCAACTTTCAGCTTCTTGAGCTTACTCTCTTAAACTACCTTGACTATACTATGAATGGCATGTTTTCTAAAGAGAACAGCTCTAATGATATGGATGATAAAAGATTTTCGGAAGAAAAAATTGGAATAGAAAGAAGCAAGAGAGAGAAGAGAAAAAATAAAAAAATAATAATAAATTAAATAAGTTTTAATTTTAGCCTTTAAACAAATTTAATTTAATTTTGGTCTCAGCAATTTTTTTTTATAAATAATATGTGATGGTTATTGGTTTAAGTAGAAAGACTTATGTAATTATAACTCGTGATCTATGTGTATGTATGCGTAGAAAAAAAATACAATTAGAAAGAATTTCTCGTTTTGACATTTAATTATACTTTTGTTATGTCTTAGCAATTTGTGTTTGATTGTTTCTTGTTAATACTACTAGCACATTAGAGTTATTAAAATAAATATAGAGGGTTTTCTCTTAAAATATATATATATATATATTTGCCAAATGTTCGATTAGGGATATCACCACTCAAGTTGTTGTCAGAAACACCAAATGACTGCATGCGGGTGCAGTATTTGAGGCTTAATGGAATGCTTCCTTCCAATTTATTGGTGTGTAGATAAAGTTCAGACAACATAGTAAGATTGCCGATGGCATTAGGAATACTACCAGACAAATTGTTTTTTTGCACAGCGAATCTTACTAGATGTTTAAGCTTTCCTATTGAATCTGGAATAATTCCCTCAAGGTAATTATCTATCATAATGAAGTTAGTTAAACTGTACAGCTGTCCAATTCCTCTAGGTATCATTCCAGATATTTGATTTATCCCCATACTAAGCCAAGTGAGATGGGTAGATAAATTGCCAATAAGATCTGGCAACATGCTGTTAGGTCCAGAGTAGGCTTAATAGTTACTCACAGCTAAAATAAGAGATGAGTAAAAAAGAGACAAGGGAGAAAATAACCACAGTAAAAATATTATTTACTGAAAGGGAGGAAATTACAACACTTCTCTCTCTATAACTTACTCCTTTGAATTAGGAGACTACTACTACCGAGAACAGATCTCAAGCCAACAAAGATCAGATCCAAGAATTAAAGGCACAATTGGCTAGGGAGTTTCGAGCTCCCATGCTCACTCTCTAAATGTTTCGAGCCCTCGCGCTCACTCTTTTAATGTTTCGAGCCCCCGTGCTCACTCTTTTAATGTTTCGAGGCCCCGTGCTCACTCTTTTAATGTTTTGAGCCCCCGTGCTCCCTCTTTTAATGTTTTGAGCCCCCGTGCTCACTCTTTTAATGTTTTGAGCCCCCGCGCTCACTCTTTTAATATTTTGAGCTCCTGTGCTCACTCTCTTAATATTTCGAGCCCCGCGCTCACCCTCTTAATGTTTCGAGCCCCCGCGCTCACTCTTTTAATGTTTCGAGCCCCCCTCCTCACTCTCTTAATTTTTCC